CTTCAATGTTCTGATAAAAAGCTGCAAAAATACTGTACGTAATAGTTTTTGCGGCTGTTTATCTACAGTCTGCTTTATGTGACTTTATGGTATTGTCTAAGTCATAGAAAAAAAAGCAAATAAAATAAAAATTTTTTTAAAAAAAATTGACAAAACTGTTTTGAGAAAGAATTAATTATATGACGTGATAAATCTCAAAATTGATTCTAAGCGGACAAGCTTTGTTATAATGAAAAAAACTGTTTCAAAATTTAATGAAAATTTTTTGCTGCACTTAGTTATAGAGATTAATTAACCCTACGATAACAGAATAAGCTGATAAAAGTTTAATCTCGTGCAGAAAATAAAACAGTATTTACCAAATGTAATTCCTTCATTTTCTGCTACCCCAATGATTGTCGGTTTCTTTGATGCATTCGTCACTAAAGTTTCCAGGTCTTCTGGTAAAAAGTCATTGTCTAATCTAGGGCCGTATTTTATAAATTTGATGCTTTTACGAGTTGACCCCTAAAAGAAATTTGCAGTACTTAAACCAAGTTTTTTGTTCCGGAAAGCTACAAGTTAAGCGTCAAGTAATCCCCTAATTCTGGCTTTTGCTATTTTCAACCTGCAGCAATAACTCCTCTACAAAATTGTTACACGTGACGAATCAGAAAGAAACCAACCGTTCTGTTTGCTGCATCGAGCAGTTCATCAATCGTTTTATTCTTCAAGCATGGCTTCACAGTAGCTAAATCATCCACTAGGCAGCCAACCTCTTTAGCTAGTTCTAAGCTGGCATCATCGACCAGTTCGCTATTAGACCATTCTGCGAAAGCGCTTCCACTCATTTGTATGCTGTTTGCAAATAAACCTTAATCACATGCAGCTTTTAGCGTGGAAAACCAATGTTTAATATGTCATTCAGTAGAAGACTTTAAAAAAATCTTACTGCTAAACTTTATTAGAATTTTTACCTTGTGATTTTGGTGACAGTGTAAGAATGCTCGTAGATCCTCCACCAGCACTAAGCCCAAAGATTGTTATTCGTTTAGGGTCACCGTTAAAATTTGCAATATTCTCATTAACAAATTTAAGTGCTGCAGTTTGGTCCCACAATCCCAAGTTCCCAGGTAGTGCCTCAGTACCAGTTGAAAAAAATCCTAAAAGATAGAAGTTTTCAATGTTTTTCATTGTGACTTGCTGAACTACTGCTTCAGATTTGATCTACATTAAATTTAGAAAAAAATAATTGCTGGTTTTTGTTTGTTGTAGTGATTACCGAGAAAGCCAAGCCGATATTGAATTGTTACAACAATGACATCCCGTGCTATAAAGTTCTCAACAATTTTCTTGTAGTCGTATGACGCTGCAGAACCCCCTTCGTATCCACCCCCGTGAATCCATACCATTACTGCGTAGGATGCATTATTCTCACCCTGATGTGCAGAACTTAAGGAAAGGAAAAAGTGCTTAAATCAATGACTAAAAACCTGCATTCATTCTCAGAATCGTTTTAAAAGTTTTTAAAGGAAGGTGAGTGAGTTCAGTAAGCATTACCTCATCGTCGATTATTTCGTTTGTGATTTTTAATTTAGTGTTCTTGATTCGCTGTGGAAAGAGAAAGTTTGAATTTTCAACGTTTTTGATAGCATTTAAAGAGGTATTTTCTGGTAATATTTGTGAAAAAGAAAGTACAGTGCTAAATTGGATTTTTCTAAGCTATGTTGGAACTTCTAACTTGGTGACAAAAAACTACCGGTTCTATTGGTGCCATAATGTTTAAATATAAGCAGTCTTCACTAAATAAGCCGTTATTGAACATTGCCAAACGGGTGTGTGGGTAACAAGCCGCAGCGTAGTCTGTTGCGTTGATCGGTTGTGTCCAATTTTCTGGCTCCACTGGCTTCTAAAGATTAGAGTCATTTTGTTACCACATTTATTTCTACCGTGATAATGATTTCATTTGTTGAAAAAGAAATGCGATAACTTGGTTGTAGAAAATAATGAGATTTACTTTTGGCAAAATAAAAATAATTAATATACCTCTAATCTTAGATCATCAATTGGAGGTTTCGCAAATGGAATACCCAAAAAAATGCGTGCAGTAGTCGTATTCACTGTGTGAGTAAAGCCTTGAACAGGTCCGTATCTGGTCTGCACAGTTATCTCTTTCGAAAGAACACTTTTAGCAACAACAAGCAAGCAAATGACAGAGTAATAAGCGCACATTGCTGAACACTAAAGATTAAGATTAAGGTCGTCACTGCTGCAGTTAGTAACAGCTAACAACGATTTGTCAGAAATGAAAATGCTCGTTCTATTAGACGTCTCAGTTTGGCTTAAAAAATTTTGGAATTATAACTGTTAGAACTGTTGTTCTCACAGGAGTTAAACATTTCTTCTTACAGTAATTCTGATAATTCCTGCTCAAAAACTACATTTTGTCGATGTTTTTTGGCCACTTTGTTCTCAGTTGTTAAACTTTTTTTTAAAAAAGCTCTTGCAATATAAACAGAAGTTTTCAGCTTCTCAGTTTCTCAGATGCAAAAAAAGTGCTGTAGTATATTTTACTAATATTGACCAGAAAACGCCTATGTTTGTGAGATATTGAAGTCAAATTTTATTTCTTTATTTCATTCCTTTGAAAGAATAATTTATAGGTATTTGTTTGTGGAAATTGCGTGCATTAAATTACTCTTTTTGTTTATATTTTGTTTGTTTACAAAAAAATTTCTGTTGCTAAGAATTTTCAGAAAGTTGGAACGTTTAAATATGGAATGGTTGTTGTCCGTTGGCCTTTGTTGAGGAAAAAAGCAAAAATACACGAAAAAACGTACAAAAATACTTTGCTTAGAAATTTATAAGTGCGAACTATCCTAGAGAATTAAGCACAGAAAAGAGTAAAAAAAAGGTGAATTTATTTTTTATTTGATAAACACTGTTTAAAATCAGGTAGATAAAAACTGAATTGAAATATAAATATTTATCAAGTGAAATTTATTCACGTAATTACTGTATAAAATGAACAAATTTTTTTTAGTATTCGAAAAAAAGATGAAAGGTGTGGCACTGATACGTGTAACCAGAAGTTTTTTATTTTATCGTTCAGTCAAAACACTGTATTGGAATTGCATGCACTGAATGTAACAAAAAAAGAGATTTATAAGGTTGGAGTATAAGACTTGAACATTTCTTATTGCCACAAAATATAACAATCATAATATTAGAGCAGTAAGAGGAATGCAGTTTAGAGTACTGTGAGTATAGGAACATAAAATATTTCGTCAGACCTAGAAAAAAGGTTAATTCTATTTCACTCTCTGTAAAACAATATTGAAAGTTCAAAATTTATTGCTTAGATCAGGAAATAAAGTTTGGGTTTTGCTTTGGGATGAGCAATCGATAGTGTTGTCAGTAGGTAGAAGAAGGATTCTGAAAGCAAGTCAAGGTGGTGGATGCAGATGAAGGTGAAGTTGGAAGAAGAACGATGGATTGCATTCAGAATAGCAGTGATCTGAGACAGTTAGCCAGATTACGGCTGTTAACAGTAATAAATCACAAAAATTTTTGCTGTTTATACGAAACTCGAATTTTACCGGTAATTTATATCTGATCAGTCATCATTAAAAAAAAAAGTTTTCAATTTTTGCTAACGTGAATCATTTACTTTCTTTTTAGGCTTCATTCTTATCAATGATATATTTGCAGTTAGATCACTTCTCATGTATTAAAAAAAAACTTCATTATTTCACTCCACTCATCTTTAAATTGTATGGCAAAACTTGTTGTCTGATACAATTTGGCACATTCATATCGTTATTTCCTCCTGTTCGGCCGCAGCTATATGTTCAGTATAAAAAGTAAACTAAACTAAACAAAACTGTTCTTCTTGTCTTGAACAGTAAATACTACAGAACTGTTCCGACTAAAGATTTCTTTGAAATTATTAACAGTTTTTTCCTGCTTTTGGAAAGATTGCATAAATAGAATTTGTTAAACAACTTGCTTCTGTATACCTTCTTTTCCAAAATTTTCCCTATAACTGTCGTTACCCTCGGTTGACTAATTTTTTCTTGTCCACCTCTTTCTCCGTTATCTCTTCGTATTTAATTCGAAGTTTACTGGAAGACCAGGATCTATACATCCAGTAGCGTGCCATCAATTGAATCATTAGTGAAATGCGAAGAAACGACAGCAGTAAATTTATCGTTTTATCTATTTAAGAAAATTTAATATTTCAGTTTATTCAAATATTATTCTAAGTTTTCATATCACCATAACGTCTAAAAAACTGGAGCAGTTATATCGACCCAGCAGCCTGAATGTCACTGTCATAAATGTAGTCTGCAAATAAATCTTCAAAAGCTTTTTCTTTTTATATGCCTTCTCTGAAATACTGAAAGTAAGACAAAAGTTGTAAAAAATTTTATTTTTTTATTTATTCAAACTTATTATTGAGAAACATAAAAAATCTCATAAAATTTGACAATATTTAACAGTACTTATTCATTTTGCCTATGTTTTATAACTATTACTCGAGCAGACATTCGCCAATAATCGTCAGACTACGGGTAGATTAAAAAAGAATTTAAAACACTGATTTTTATTAGATACTAAGCAAACGCAGTGTTAAACCTCGAATGACTGCTAAAGTAACCTAAGAAATAGAAGCCGTACAAAAAATGTATATAGTTCCAAATTTAACAGTGCTTTAGACAGAATTCTGACAGTAATAAAACAGATAATATAAGAAATAGATGCTAATATTAGCACTAGAAATTACTGATCAGTACAGTGAAGAAATAGTTGAACGAGTAGAATAAACAACAGTAAAGTGACAGTAAGAAACTTGAAAAGATAGTCGAATATAGATTAGTTTTTTTTCTCAAAATAAAATACAGCTGCGCTAATTGTCAACAGAATTTTGTGGGAAATTCTGTCGTTGTGCATCAAAAATTTGTTTTGCTCATAGACACTTATTTCCAAGTCAAAACTTGAAGACTGCTAATGTTTGACGTTGACGTCTAGTGTCTAGAGCAGAAGCAGGAGCCTCACCAATAGCAACCAGTAAAACTAAACAGCTGCTGTGTGTTTTGAGTACTGCTGTATAGTGATATATCCGGTTTCTCAGGTTTACTTACAACATTTTTTGATAACATTATTCAGCTGGTTGTTGCAAAGATATACGTTATTAGAATCACAAATAAAACTTATAGGAATTAATGCTGTAATGCAGAGGAGAGAAGAAAGAGAAAAAAGAACAAGAAAAAGAACAAAAAGAAAAAAAGAAAAAGTAGAAAAAGAAGGGAAATTGTAGAAAAAAATGAAAAAGAATAAACACCAAAAATTGATGAAGACAAAAAAAAGAATAGTTGAAAATATTTTTGCTGTAAAATATTACAATAATAACGGTTCGGAAAGCTGCAAATTGTCCGTTTTTCGTAGCTCAGTAACAAATTTCGCAAAAAAAAAAAAGTTGTCAACAAAATATGTGGAACTTTTTACGCTTTTTTTTTACGTTTTTTTGCTCTAATTTGCTTTTTTTTCAATTATATTGTCAAATAAACAAATAACAGTTTGAGGAATGAATTAGGGAAAAAAATAAAAGAAAGCAGAACAGAATACATCTGATTTGGCTGAATGTCAATTACAGGACACTGTAGGTGGATATAAAAGTTAATAGTTTTGAATCGCTGAGCGATGTTTGAGACTGCAAAAAATGAAAATAACTGTAAAACTTTTTTTTAATTGTCTCTGTTCACCAAATTTAGTTTTTCAAATTGTCGAATTATAAAAAATTCGCTTTTTTCTCAATTTTATTTGTTGGAAATTTACTGCTACCAGACAACGATACCAAAAAAATAGTACCCGAACATATAGTACCAGAATACTATTTTATTGTCAAATAATTTACAAAATTAATTGCAATTGCTAAGCAGTTCAAAAATGCAAAATTTTATCAATTAATAATCAAAACAGATTAATCTGTGCTTTACAACTTTTTGAACACTGTTCCAGTAAACAGTTGTTTGCTGCAATTTTATTCTGTTTGATTAACGATGACAACACTTCACACTGATGCAGTGTATTTTAAAATTATTGCCATATTAAAACTTAATTATTTCTTACTTTTTTTGAGCAAAAATTTGTTTTAAGTTTTGTAAACTTCTTTTTACAAACCTTGCAAAGGAAAAGTTGCAGTGTTATAATAAGTAAACAAAGAAAAATGAAAGACTTTTAAACCAAAACTTGCTTCCATTTCTTAATTAATGCTAAAAAAAAAGAAGAACAGAGAAGAAGAGAACTTAAACTGAAATATGTTTCAGAGAGGTGAAAATACTTAAGTTGAACTGAAGTAAATCAATTTTTTTTTTATTTCTTTTCTTCTTTTCTTTTTTTTTTCTTTTTTGAACGGATACGTCAAACAATTTTGATAACTCAATATGAATGAAAATTCTTGTAAACTCAGTGTTATAAAAAAAGCCTTGTTGTTCAGCAAAAAAAGAGTACTCAAAAGTTTGTTTTAATTCTGCAGTAAGTGCTTAACCAATTTCAGCAACTGATACCCGTTGGTTGGGTACATTAGCTGTTTACTTTGCTGTTAATTCCTCTAAAAAGGCGATGATAGTTCATTGCACACTGACTGTTCTTTGCACTTTCTTTTTTTTTGGTTCAAACTTCAAACGACTGCACAGAGGAAAGCAGTGAAGGAAAGAATGAAATATTGTTCATTTTACAGTCGAAGAATTACTAAATTTGTTGACCAAAAGAAATATCGTTAACAACAAATACTTGATAAATATAAAGTTCAAAACTAAATTTTTTATAATTTTATAGAGAGATCATTTCTTTTTGAACTTTTACAACGGCTTCAAAGTTTTGTTGTAAAAGTTGAATTTTGGAAATAAAAATTTTCAAATTGTTTGTTCTTCTTTCCTTCTCTCTCTCCTTCTCTTTCCATTAAGTTATCTGTAATATTCATCATAATAGAATATTGTTTGTAAATTCTGAGCAGTTAACTTCAAATAAAAATACCTGTCGTCCGGCTTGTAAAATACCTATAGTTATCAGATAAATTCAAATTAACAAAAAAAAAAACTAATTTTACAGCATTCTTAACGAATGATTGACACTTTTTTTTGGTGACAAACCAAATTTTTTTACTGATGACGCCCGAATGCTCTGATAAATCATTGATATTTACAGCAGTGGAGTAGGCTGTCGAAGAA